GCCAGTCAGCGCTGGCAGAGCGGAGAGGGGAATCCAGCCCCTCCCCCTGTCACGGCAGAGAGCCGCGACAGGATCGAGAGGCGAGCGAACCCGGTATGTGTTCGCTCACCTCCCGATCTACTCAGCCGACCTGTGACAGTCTCATTGTCACAGGTCGGCTAGAACTATGAGGTGAGTGAAAAGCACACACCTCATAGCTCTCCTTTTTAAAGGGTAAGTTCATTTTCACAGGTAATATGGAAAAATAAAAATTACCCGATGAAATCTGGCCCTGTCTCTCCCAAACCCTGGCTATACTTACCTTTCGGCGAACAATCCCTCCCCTCCGCCAGTATGGGTGTACTATCTGTCCCCCGTACTGCTGTCCAGCGCAGTCCTCCCCTATGCATTTTGAATTTCGCTCGCAAATTGCATATTGCCCGGTTTTTTGAAGAGTTTATGCACACCAGTTTCCACATAGCCAACGAGTGAGAGATCTGACCATATCACAGCGGTGCGCTTCCACATGAGTGCAAGCACTCATTGGTCAACGTGGTCAGATGACTGCGCTGACCAGTGAGAAGCGCTATTTAGCACAGTAAAATATGTTTTGATTAGGGGTGCACCGATACTAGTATCAGTGCCGATACCGAGTATTTGGGCAAGTACTCGTACTCACCCAAATGCTCCGATACCTTCCCAGATATTGGAACTTATGGCCAAATGAAAATTTCCTCTGACTGGCAGTGCCGTAAGGGAACATGGAGCCAGCTTCCCGTGCAATCAGAAAGCCGTGCGGCAAGTAATGACCCGCCTCCTGGTTTTCTGATTGGCCCGGGAAGCTGGCTCCTTGCTGATTGGCCAGGAAGCCGGCTTTCCAGCCAATCGGCATCGAGCCAATTTCCCGGTCAATCAGGTCATTACTCGCCACCCGGCTTCCTGATTGACCGGGAAGCAGGTTTCCCGGCCAATCGCAATCAAGCAGGCCAAACAACATGGAGCCGGCTTTCGTGGCAATCGGGAACCTGTGCGGGATGTCATTACCCGCTGCCCGGTTTCCTGATTACCAGGGAAGCCTGCTCTATGTCAGCGGAAGCACCGGTATTAGTATTCAGTGTCGGCGAGGTCCAAAAGCAAAACATCGGTACTCGATACCGAAAAACCGGTATTGGTGCATCCTTAGTTTTGATTAAAACTATTTTTTGTATTGGGACAAGTAGATTGTCGTGAAGGACAAGTAGATTTGGCCCCCACTTTAGTCCTTGGACAAGTAGTTTTTTTTATTTTTATTTCCACACCCCTGCTTAGGGGTGTACTAGCATCGATATCGGGACCGATACAGGACATTTTGACAAGTACTTGACATCCCTAAGTCACATGAACAGAATTTTAAAGGAAGTTACTTACACTAAATAGTCTATAGACTGCCACTGCTTTAAAAGTTATGGTTGCATAACTTCCGATGCTGGCGACGTACACTGTACGTCGTCAGTCACGAAGGGGTTAATAAAATCATTGGGTGCCTGCAGCCTTAAATTAAGTTTTTTTTTTTTTTTTTTTTGATACATGAAATATGGTTTTCAATAAACCACATGAAGCAAATAGGCCATAGGTGACACTTTTATCGCTTTATCAGTTTAGCGTTATCAGTAATTAATGGCCCTAAAATTATTGTTCACACTCGTTCACTGTGATATGTAACATTTGTCATTGTCATTGATATGTAACATCAATTGTCGTTTTCACACGTAGGTGCATCAGACGCATATTTTTTTTATGATTCTTTAGTTTTTGTATAACTTTTTTTTTATCACATGCGGGGGCTAAGAAGCTCCCTATGTGATAGCCAATTTACAGGACAGGTCCTCTTTATGGAGACATAAGGGGTCTCCAAGACCCCCTAATGTCATCTAGGGACCCCCAGAGAAGCTGACGCAGAGATCTGCTTTATCAGCTTCTGTACCTGGAGAGGGACACTGAATGCAGGAAGTGATGTAATATACATCAATTCCTGCATTGGGGACTGAGAGGAAATCAAAGGGAGATCGGGTACTCACCTCCCTTTTGATCTTTTGTCAGAGCAGCTGTGCCGGTCCCGGCCACATCAGGCACAGCGGATTTTGGGACCGGCACGGCAGTGACAGATGCTGCTAATACAAGCGATTGGGCGTCTCTATCGGGTAAATAGACACCAAACATGTCAAGCCTTAAATTGCGTGCGCTCGCAAAAAAAACGCCCATAGGTGACTGATTAAAACGCTTTTACTGTTCATCAGTTTAGTGTTCTCAGTGATTAAAGGAGAACTATGGGGTTAGGGATTTTCCCCATAGTTCTCAGGGTAACGGCAGGATACAAATTAGCGTCCTCCCGTCACCCTAGGCTCAGTATATAGGGAGCTACAGCTATATAGTCCACACCAAGGACTAAATGTAGATTTTGTTCCATTTCTATGACATTCATAATTGAAGGAATTTACTTGTGACAACATTATGGTGTACCCTGATGTCTGAATATGTTTGTTTCCTTTGTTCAGGCTGAGAACATCTACAATGATGAAGACACAGAGGGTGGTGTGGATGCTGAGGGCCAGGGATCGTAGGCATGTCTTTCTTCCCCTGGTGCAAACTTCAGATCAATCTCTGTATGCAGCACTTGGACATTGATACCACCTTGTGCTTAAAGTGCAAACTGACTCCATATCTCCATCACTTAAACTTGCTTTTATTCATCGTAGGAAAACGGTCCCCTCCATTTTATTTTATATATAAATATTTTATATAAGAATGCGTTTTTAACAATGCGTCCATTACAAGAGTGGTTTTTAACAAAGCAAGAAAAGGAGTAAGTGGCAACAGTTGTGTGACACCATGCCTTCAAGTGCAACGGTCATATTTTGGGAGTCTTGGACCAAGCTGCTTCATGCAAACATTCCTTATTTTTCCACTGGAAAAGCCAACCGCTTCTATTACAATCATGGACATACTTCTCTCCAGCAGTTTCCCCTCCCCCTCCTGTATTGTTGCATTTTTTTGAAGTATGTGTTGTAATTTAGACTCGTCATCCACTGTTTAGTTGTGCTGAACAGTTTAAAGGGGAGAGCACTGATATCTCTTTCATTGTGTTTATTTAGCTGTATGTGCTGCACATCGTTTAATGTGGTGGATGAGCACCTCGCATAAAATAAATGGCTTGTTTGGTTTTCTACATTGCCTTGCCCTAACATTGAGGTGTAACAAGGTGTACATCTTTAATATACTGCAAAAAAAACAATTAAAACTGGATATATTTAGAACACAAAGTAAGATCTACAATGAGCATGTTCTTATGAAAACACCAGATGGCATACAAGGCTAGCGCTTTTCCTCTCTGGTGGGTTTCACTGTACATGTTACACAGCAAGTTGGAAATGTAATCCCACATTTCTTTATTTTTTTCTTCGTAGTGATGATGTGCTGTTAGCGGCCACTTCATCCGAGTAAAGCACCTTCCTCGCATACTTCATTCTCCAGGTAATGCTGGAGCCTGAACAGAGAATTTTAGGGATAAGCACTTGGTTGGGCGGCAGTTATTCCTTTTTTGTCACAGATTTGGAAATCTGTCCATATATTTCAAGATATCCCCTGAAAAAGAAAAAGCATTAACGGTTAGTGTGTAATCCCAGAAAAGGACAGAACATGAACTGATATGTTGGATAATTGATATAAAAAAAAGTGTGAACATTAAAGCATAGTTTTGAAAATTAACTCTATAATCTAATTATTTCTAACAAACTATGTTGACCTAATTTCAACTCCTCTGAATATTTCAGTGAGGAGTACAGCAGACCTCTGGTATATAAGGGTCCATGCTTGTGCATCAAACCTGTTCCATTTTGCTGCATTTCAAGTAGAAGTCCTGTCCCTATATAGCTGGTTTACATCTATACACTGCAGTTTAGTGTGAAAGGTAAACTATAGGGGCCCATACACAGAACAGTGTGAACCCAGCTTTGGAGTCCCAGGAGGTGCTTCGTTTTGCGTTTCCCTTTGAAGTATTGTCTCCTAGCTATCTTGAAGTATCTCTTTGGCTCACAGCTGTGTCACACCAGGTTCCCAACCATGGACCTTCACTGCCAAAATATTGTCCTGCATTGCGCTTTTGGCCTATATGTTTTCACACTTGCAGGTACAGAGATTAACTGTGAAGGTTCCCTTGCTGCCAAGATTCATGGCTCCTGCACGTAGGACAAGTACCTTTTAATTCCAGATGAGTTAAATAGGGTTATATCATGACTGGAGATCCTTAGGATATAGCTATGTTCACATTTGGGGAAGGGGGACTGAAGAGCCTTTTCATTAGAATAGGCTGTGAAGATTGGAGAAGTCCACGGCCCAGGAACTAAGTAAGCAATTGAGGTACAGTTGTCTTTTAGCATTAATGATTAGGGGAATTAAAGTGACACAAAACCCTCAGATTTTTTAACATAAAACAATACTGTAATGTGTGCCTTACTGTAATCCATGGTTGTTTCCCTTCTCTTTGCTGCTCTTCCTTTTAAATCTGTATCTGTTCTCCTGCTGGGCAGAACTTCTGTTTTGCAGCAGACTGCCTTGTCTCTGGAATGGATATATGGTGTCTGTATAGGTTTGCAACCTGAGCCAGCACTACAGTAAGAAGCACTCGGCTGCAAAGGGAAGTTCTCCCCCAGCATGAGAAGACATGAGGATTTCAAAGGAAGAGCAGCAAAGAGAAGGGAAACAACCATGGATTACAGTAAGGCACACATTACAGTATTGGTTTATGTAAAAAAAAAAAAACCTGAGGGTTTAATGTCACTTTAAGAAACTTTGCTTTTGCTAGTTTTGTGGGTTTTTTTTATGTTTAATATACTTTTCTATACATCTGAAAGATGAAGGGGGATTTAGTTTTTCCAGTGATATTTTTAAAACAATTGTTGCTATAGATATAAAGTGCCCAGTGCAAAACGGAAATACAGTTAATGAAAAAATCAGTGCATCAGATAAAATAAACATCCATTCACTAATCAGGGCAGATAATAGCCGGGGTGATAATGGCCAGGACACTATTATGCTGCAGAGTTTAATTGTAAATGTATTCTCTGCACTGTATGAGCAGTATATACTCTATGTAGTACATACAGAGTACACACTGCTCATGCAGTGCAGACAATACATTTACAATTATACTCTGCTAACATGAATGGATTAAATGATCTGTATGTAGCCCTGTACTATGGATCATTTAACCCATTCATGTTAGCAGAGGATCATTGTAAATGTATTGTTGCAGGCACTCTATATGTACAAGTACTATATACAACATAGAGTGCACTGCAACAATAGATTTACAATTATCCTCTGCTAATATGAATGGGTTAAATGATCCATAGTACATATGTAGCACTGTACTACGGATCATTTAACCCATTCATGTTAGCAGTGCAGAATTGTATATCTATATGTACTGTACACATACAGCACAAATGTCCGTACATTGCAGCATTAGATTTACAATGATCCCCTGCTAACATGAATGGGTTAAATGATCCATAGTACAACTACATAGGGACATAACATGTAGTTGTACTATGGATCATTTAAAGTCACCTGTCCCTTTTAAGAAAAAGTATCAGTAATTGGTATCGGCAAGTACATGCGGGGAAGTACTTGTAAAAGTGGCATCGGGACATCCCTATAATCAACCTATATTAACTGGCTAGGATCAAATCAGAATAATTTTCTAATCTGTTTAAGACGTTTTGAATCCTTAAGGTATGATGCTGTAGTCTGTATCATAGGCTGCATAACAACATATTCTCCTATTCTTGATGTTAACAAATTAATACCACTTACAAAAGGTTGATTTGGTGCAGTATATTGTTATGGATCTTTGACAAAAAGTAGTAGGAATTCTACTGCTTATTGAAAGCAAATATTTGCGCTTTTTTTTTTTAATCTAAAATTCTTTCTTTTAGCCCCTTCATGACTGGAGACGTACACTACGTCCCCCATCATGAAGTGCCCAAATTACCGATCACGCACACTGCACATGATCAGCTATGCTTTTCCCCATAGTTCTAGGTTCATGGGAAGACATAAACTAGTGTCCTCCCGTGACCCAAAGCTCAATATAACAGTAGAAAGGTATCATGGCACACTCACAAACCAGCATGTAAAAACTTGTCTCACTTATTGCTATTATATAGGGGGATAACAACCCCCTATATAATAGCAAAGGCACACTGACAGGTCCTCTTTATGGAGATATTAGGGGTCTCTAGGACCCCTAATATCACCTGTGGACCCCAAAAGAAGCTGATGAAGCAGAGATCTGCTTTATCAGCTTCTTCTCTCTGGCTATAGCAGCCAGATGACTGACAGGTGAATGCGGAAGTGATGTAATACACATCACTTCTGCATTCACAGCCCGGACGGAGATCAGCAAGGAGCCGCGAACGAGCACATATAGGCGATCGGCGGGCTATGGAGCCGCTGATCGCCTATATGTGAAACACCCGGTAACGGGTGTGTGCATTGATCGGGTCTTTTCTGCCCGTGCGTGCCCGCTAGAGCAGAAAAAAAATTTCTGTCCCGCAGATGCAGCAGTGCCGTCCGTCCGTTTTTTTACTACGGACGGACGGCAAGAGGTTAAAGGCACAGGAACACACAAGGGATCCCGCACATCCCAATGGCAGCTGAGAACCCCCATGAGTCACTGCACCAAATCGGTCAAGCAAAACAAATGACAAACGCACTCAACAAATTGTTGAGTGCGTTTGTCATTTGTTTTGCTTGACCAAAGCTCAATATATCGCGTGCTACAGCTCGCAGCTGGGACAGATCCAGACATTACTGTCGAGATCCACCTAGCTGCGTCAGTGACAGCTGGCTCTGCCTATCTAGAGACAGCCAGCTGTACCCGCCCCCTCCCGCGTCCGTTCTGCCAGTCAGCACTGGAGAATCGGAGAGGGGATGGGGGAATCCTGCAGGGAGCAGTGAGTGACGGTCACAGCTCTCTGCAGGGATAGATTGAGAAGTGAGCGAGCGGTATGTGTTCGCTCACTTCCCGATCTATTGAGCCGATGTGTGACAGTTTCATTGCCACAGGTCAGCTAGAACTATATGAGGATGAGTAGTTTTCACTCCCCTCATAGTTCTCCTTTTAATTGTTGCAATTCTTTTCTATATTTGTATACGTTGCCTCATCCACACACTGAAGCTGTCACAGATTGGCTCTATAGATTGGAAAGTCAGAGAACACAGTCGCTGGCTTCCTGATCTTCTCCCTGCAGAGAGTAGTGACTTTCAGTCACCATTCGCCCGCAGGGATTCCCCCTCTCCAATCCTCCAGCGCTGACTGGAGGAACTGAGGGGGAAGGGGGTGGGCACAGCTGGCTCTGCCTCTCAAGGCAAATCAGCCAGCATGGTGGATCTCGACAGTATTGTCGGGATCCGTCCTGGCTGCGGCTCTGTGCTCTCACCGTATAGTGGGCAATAACCAGCTATATAAGTTTGGGGTCACTGGTACACATTTAGGATATGTCCTCCTGTGACCCTGAACAGAGCAATGAGTGCAAAAAAGGTTGCTCTATAGTTCTCCTTTTAATGGGACCTATAATCTGCAATTTGCTTTAAAAAAAAAAACTACCTACAATTGTTTAGTGGGTGGGAGAAAAACAAAATGTGGCTTCTTAAGTATACACACCCTCTTATAAATAGGGATGCGGCTGTGTTCAGAATGAACCATTTTAAAACTGCTGTTAAATAAGTCAGCACACCCCTGTCATCATTTAAGGTGACTGAATAAGCCCACATTTAAGTTAACTGTTCCAGTAGGGTTTTTCAGACATTTACTTAGCTGCCTCTTATAGCAAAAGCCATAATTTGCAGAGAGCCTTTAAAGCATCAAAGGGACCTCATTGTTGGCATTGTTGGAAGGTATCAGTCAGGAGACGGGTACAAAAAAGGTTCCAAGGCATTATATATACCATGGAACACAGTGAGGACTGTCATCAACAAGTGGAGAAAACATGGTACAATGGTGACATTACCAAGAACTGAACGTTCCTCCAACATTGATGAAAAAACAAGAAGAAAGCTGGTCTGGGAGGCTGTCAAGAGCGCCACAGCAACATTAGAATTGCTGCAGGAATTTCTGGCAAGTTCTGTTTTGTATTACGTGCAACAATTTCCTGCTTTATTCATATGTCTGGACTGTGGGGTAGACAAGCCTGTTCTTACTAAGAAAACCAAAGCATACCTCCAATTTTGGCCACCATATACTGAGAGCTCCTCAGCTGTGATGGATCCTGAAAATGCTACTGGTGTGAAGAGCACCTATGTTATCATTGAAAGAAGCCTAAGAAACATACTGCAAAGTGTTTTCCTGACATTTCTCCACTCCCTCTGCCCCCACCCAAGCTTTGCTCCCTGTCCACTCACAAGATCTGGCACTCAGTCTGCCAAATCCTTCCGCTGCATAAAGGTGGACCCCCACTTTATAGAGTGGGGGTGGGACACTTCTTAATTTTAAGTTAGTCTTCCAGGGCTACAAACTGTAGTTTTTGGGGATGTTTTGAATAGAGCAGAGAAGGAAATGGTTAAATCCCTTACCGTTTTTT